ATATAGCTGGAGAAAGGGGCATGGTCTCCGTACCAATGAGTGAAATTGTAACTGTTTATAGCAAAGGTGCCGGCAGAAGACCAGATTTGTGGGGTGTAGAGGTATATTTTTTCATTATTTTTCAATTCTATGAAATTCCGAGTTTATATTAACAATTCTTATTATATCGTATACAAATGTTTGTACGATATCATCTTTTGTCTTTACTTTTGTATCGTACTTTATTATTATTATTGTTATTATGTTTTTGTTTATATTTTACAAAGCTTTATCAAAGTTTACATTTGAAAATGAATATTTCTTTTAGTTCGATGGTAACCGTGGATACATACCAAAAAATTTTTTAAAGGAATTTAAAGTTTTAAAGAAAAACTTGACTTACGAAGTACCTACTGAAGTTGTAAATAATATTAATAATAACAACAATGATAAAAATAATAACATTGATAATATTAATAATGATATCAGTAATATAAAAAATATTCCATTAAAAAATAATGAAAATAAAGCTGACTCTATTCCGATATATAGTAGTCTTTCCAATAATAATAATAATAATATCGATGCATCTATTCCAACTACCAATGAAGAAAATACGAAGCAATCTATGCATGAAACAGAAAGTATATCTCCATCGTATAACGTAATAGATGGTACTACAATTTTTGTAAATAGGGAAGAATCATCTGTGCAATCGAGTTATACTTCCGTTATAGAAACTGCGTCTTTGTCAAATAATAAAGAAACAGAAGATGATATTAATAACGGTATAAAGCCAACTGCTACGCAAATTGAATTAGATGTACCAATTAAGTTGGAACAAGAAACTGACTTTAAAGAAGAAGAATTAAAGTTTGTTACTTATAACAACGACACTTCCAGTATACATATTAAAAGAAACGAATCTGCAGTCGAATTGCAATTAAATGAAAATATTAATGTAGATTCCTTGACTGTTGAATCGATAGAAGAAAAGAAAAGGGATAATATAGATGGTATTACTTTCAATGTGGAAGATAAGTGGGAAAAAGATAATGTAGACTTTTCCCAGTTTGAATTGGAACATAAGGAGGAGAAAAGTAACGTGAATTCTTTAAATGTCGAATTAGGAGATAATGTGAGGGAAGATGATGCGGTATTTTCTATTATTAAATTAGAAGAAAATAAAAAGGAAAAGGACAGTTTAGAATCTTTGACTTCTGAATTGGAATATAAAGATGATAAGGATAATGCGATTGTTGATTTAGACCATAAGGAGGAAATAAAAGTTGAAAATATAAACGATCCAGACAATTCCTTTATCCAGTCTGAGTCACAAAAACAAATTGAAGTAGAAAATAAAACGGAGGTTTTACATAACGTAGACACTCCAAACGTGGATCAATCAAATGATCTTGTATCGGGAACAAATAATTCTCTTGATTCTGAAATTGTCCTTAACAGCGAAGAACAGGTACAGCAAATTGTAAATAAAGTCAATACACCTGAGATAGATCTACAAAAAAATGTTTTCGATAATAATCCATTTCAAAAAGATACAATATGCGATGCTAATACGAATGTTACAATACAGAAGGAAGGGGAAACTAAGTTGGAAGAAAATAATCAAATGGAAGCGCAAGACAGTCAAAAGAATATTGTAAATAGTGATGTAAATAATGACAATGTTGAAAGAGATATCTTTAGTTCTGTTGATGTTCCTGTAGAATCGAATACAGTATTTAAAGATATTAATGAACAATTGCATAGCGAAGAAAG